GCTTTTATCTCAAGAATTCCCCAACGATCTCTTATTAGTTACTCTCTTCTTCTTTCTTTTGGTTAAATTTTAATCTTTCTTGTTGTTTAACAAATGAATTTAAGAATATAAACTCTCCTCTGAGTACTACTTTTGCCAAATATAATAGGTATTTACACAAAGTGTTTCCACTAACACTACTTTCTATGTAGAAAAATAGAAAAAAATAGGCAACTCAGAGACTAAACATATAACACTGATCAATAAGGTAAGTTGCTCAATTTCAATAACAGATAACACCTTTTTCTGCTTACCCTGGAGAAAAGGATTAAAGACTGATAATTCACCATTTTGGTGAAGGTATGGGGAAGAGCATACTTCTCTTCAGTATTAGGGGAGGGCAATTTAGCTTCACCAATTACATCTAGACATGCACATACACTCTGACCTGCTAATTCTACTTTCTGCCAATCTTTTTTAGAGACATACTTTTATAAGTATTTAAGAACATGTGTACAGAATGTTTGCAGACGCATAATTTATAATGGAAATCTTGGAGAAAACTTCAGCACCCATGAACTGGAGAAGGAAAAAAATCAGTTATAGGATATTTAGCTAGATTTTAAGAATCAAGATAAAATTGTATCGTGTTCTCTAAACAAGGCAAATACAAAATGCAAGTTCACAAAAAGTTTGTAAAATATAATTCCATGTAGCTTAAATACAAACAAATAATTTTACATAGTCACTTTTATATAAAGATAACAAATGGCCTGAATCATATATATCATACTTCCTTGCTTTTTTAACTCTGTGGTTAGGTTAGGACGGTATTATTTTGCTATTAAAAGCTAGTTACTTAAAAAAATTTTTTTTTTTTTTGCAGAGATGGGGTCTCACTATGTTGCCAGGCTGGTCTTGAACTCCTGGCTTCAAGCGAGCCTACTGCCTTGGCCTCCCACAGTACTGAGATTACAGGTGTGAGCCACTGAGCCTGGCTTGCCACACTTTCAAATGATGGTCACCTCTAGCAACTGTGAGTAACAGGGAGGTAAGAAGAACCTTAGCATTTTATCTATAATCATTTCTGTATCGCTTGAAATGGTTTCCTTTCTCAGTGAGCATATACTAAGATAATATAAAAAAGTAATTTTTAAAAATTTTATTTTGGGGATGGGGGTATTGCTATGTTGTCCTGGCTGGTCTCAAACTCCTGGGCTCAAGTGATCCGCCTACCTTGGCCTCCCAAAGTGCTAGGATTACAGGTGTGAGCCACCACACCCAGCCTAAAAATGTAATTTAAAAAAATTTCCCATCCTACCCCTAACATATTGCAGTTTGTTGAATTATACTAAGGAGGGATTAAAAACTCTGGTAGTTAACATGGCCTTTTGAAAATTGATCAATTAACTCATAAAAGCTGCATAAGACAATGACATTAAAGGAAATGCAGAAAAGATTCAGTAATATTAACCTACAACATGTCTGCTCATGTGCCTCACTTATACCAGCCTTAACAGGCATTCCTTCTAGACTAGCTTTTCCTGCCAGGCTGCCAGGATAGGCAAGGCTTCTGAGAAGCTAGCAGAGCCCAATTTCATATTCAATGTCTCAGCTATTTGGTCTGAAAGCTCTTTGAGTGATCTAAGCAGCAAACTATGAGGCAGGCACATCCCACAGCCTGTGGTTCAATTAAAACTGCTTCTATACCACCCACTCTCAACACTTAGCCCAATATTGCAGAGTTGGAAGAAACCAAAGCATAGGAGGACCAGATGAGTAGACAGTCCTCCTTGGCAGTTCCCTCCTTAACCTGACAATCTCTTGATATGGGGATACAAAATCCCTGTCAAACACGCTTGGTAGCCAAGGACACCAGCCTCACTTATGAAGTTAGTCTGACTTTCCATTTTTCTTTCTTCCAAAGGTTGAGACAATTATCTTGCAGTGGTTCCTGATGAAACCTTTGAAAGAAAGAAAGAATTGGAATCTCCCTCCTCCATGACGCTAAAAATGATCCCTTCACTAAGAACCATTTTGAAACAGCATTAAATTAATTGCTTGTTTTTTAAGGTCTAATTTTTTAAAAAGTATAATTTATTATCAAATGACTAGAGAGGGCATTGGTGTTCTACTTCACCTATTCTAAATTTTTAGTTAAAAATCTACTAAATTGGCCAGGTGCAGTGGCTCACGCCTGTAATCCTAGCACTTTGGGAGGCTGAGGTGGGCTGATCACCTGAGATCAGGAGTTCAAGCCCAGCCTGGCCAACATGGTGAAACTCTGTCTCTACTAAAATACAAAAATTAGCTGGTCATGATGGCAGGTGGCTGTAATCCCAGCTACTTGGGAGGCTGGGACCAGAGGGAGGCTTGAACCTGAGAGAGGGTGGTTGCAGTAAGCCAAGATCCTGCCACTGTACTCCAGCCTGAGCAACAGAGCAAGACTCTCTCTCAAAAAAGAAAGAAAGAAAAAAAAAAAAAAAATTGGCCGGGCATGGTGGCTCATGCCTGTAATCCTAGCACTTTGGGAGGCCAAGGTGGGTGGATTGCCTGAGGTCAGGAGTTCAAGACCAGCCTGGCCATCATGGTGCAACCCCATCTTAAAAAAAAATATATATATATATCTACCAGTATGATTAGAAGACTCAATACAGTTATAAATTCTTCACAATCAATATAGATTCAATATAATCCCAATCAAAACCCCAGTAAGATTTTTCACAGACATCAACAAGCTGTATACACTGACTAATGACCGGGTGGGGGACAGGGAAGAAATCAATAAGCCGATTCTAAATGGGAAAGACGATGGAATTAGAATATCTAAAACAATTCTGAAAAAAGTAACAAAGCTGCAAAGACAATTCAATATAGAAAGGAAGGTCTTGGATATCCATTTGTAAGAGAATTAAATTTGATCCATACCTCACACCATATATAAAAATTAACTCATAATTGATCATAGACCTAAATGTAATACCTAAAGCTATAAAATTTCTAGCAAATAAACAGAAAAGATTGGTGACCTTATGCATTTTTTTAAAAAAGGATAAACTGAACTAAAAATTAAGAATCACTACTCTTCAAAAGACACTGTTAAGGGAACAAAAATACAAGTCACAGGTCACAAGAAAATCACATATCTAATGAAGAATTTGTATCCAAAATATATAATGAATTTACAACTCAATAATAAGAAAACAATCTAATTTTTTTAATGGGTAGAAGATTTGAATAGACATTTAATTAGATATTAAGGATGGCGACTAATCACACTGATTGATGTTCAACATCATTAAATATTAGTAAAGTGCAAATTAAATCCATAACAAACTAACACTGCATGTCTATAAGAATGCTAGGGATGCTATGTATAGCAAGTAGATGTATATCACTCTCATATACTTCTGATGGGAATGCAAAATCGTAAAATCACTCTGGAAAATAGTTTGGCAGGTTCTTAAAAAGTTAAACACATTATATATTTAATGTAAAGTTAAACATATATTGCTGGGATACTCAGCAATCCCATTCATAGGTACATATCTAAGTGAAATGAAAACTTCTGTTCACACAAAAACCTGTAAGTAAATGTTTAAAGTGCTTTTATTTGTAATTGCCAAAAACTGTAAATGACCCAAATATCCCTTAACTAGGGAAGGGATAAACTGAGGTATATCCAAACAATGTGAAAATAGCAATGAAAAGGAACAAATTAATTGATATATGCAACTACATGGATGAATTTCAAGCGTATTAGCTAAGTGAAAGTGGCCAGACTCAAAACACTACATTCTATGATTCCATTTATATGACATTCTGGAACAGGGACAGACATCAGAGCAGTGGTTGTCAGAAATAAGGGAAGGGAGAGGCGCTGACCACAAAGGAACACAGGAAAATTTTTGGGGTGAAACTGTTCTATATTTTTATTGTGATGGCAGTTATAAAACTATGTTTGTCAAAATTCACAGAACTATACACAAACAAGGATAAATTTTACTGTATCTAAATTATAACTATTTAAAAAAGTTCCAAATGGAAACCATAAAATACAAAACAAAAAAACTACTATAAAAATGACCACAATGCCTGCATGCAAGAGAAAACCTTTTAAACAGGACCATTAAAAATACAGTCTACACTGTCATACACATATGCACACATTCTCTTTGCCACCCTCTACTCATGGACAGATCTAGCAAAGAAAGGGCATTTTGAAGGAAACCATCTCATCTTCTGTTCTTACCTGAATCATGGCATGTCTTAGGGTTGAGAGAAGGCATGCATACCTGATGAAGGCCCTAATACCTGCAAGCTGTAGAGGGCTGGGAAAGGTCATAAGAGTTCCTTCAAACTGCAGTGGGAACTGCATTGCCCATTCTCGTTCTTCTTTAGAACAGGAGTTAACACAAATTCTCCACTGGCGCACACTCACCTCTGTCGTGACCGCACTTACACAGACGGGCTGGATCTCAGTACTGCAGCACTCACTCCCTTACAGAGTAAACTGAATTTTGCAGAGGCAATGAAAGTAGGCCAAGGCGACAGAGCACTCTAGTTACAGGGTGGCAGCCAATCACGGGCCCCTTCCCAGGAGTGTCTCACTCTGAGGTCAGTACTCAAAAGCAGAGTCTGTGCCGTCAGCCAGAACCCAAAGGGACCGACTTGTTGAACTTGTTTTTCCACAGCATTAACTTGAGGGTTTATGATTTGAGACCCCAGATCAATCTCTGCCATGGTGCTCGTGGTCTTTTCTCCCATAGTTAGCACCTAGTCTGACCCAATCTTTTCCTTGCTTCGCATGCTGAAGGTGGCAGCCAACTCCAACCCAGAGCATGTAGGTCAGGTATTGGAAATGAAAAGCCATAAAGTACCCCCCATCCCAGGCCATCGTGAAACTCAACTGCCACAACCCAAGGAATATCAAAGCTACAACATCTTCCCCTTCCACTCAGGATCACAAACTTTAAAAATCCCTTCGGAGGGAGATCTGCCAGGAGTTGTGGGGAACGTACCTTTTGTTTTTCCATCTACCGACACCACTTTCTTTGTCTCTGCTGTTAACAACAGTTCATAAGGGTGTTCGTCTTCTTCCAGGGCTGCACCCCCCTGAATCCTAGGTCTCATGGACAGAGCCTAAGAGAGAGAAACATCCAGTGTATCTTGTACATGTGGCTAATACCAAGACAGGCAGTGTTAAACAAATTTGAGATTATTGGCTCTTTTTTTATCTAAAAGAAAAAAGGGTGGAAAAGAGAAGGTGAATAATTCAAGTGTCACATAGAATCACAACTGTATTTCTGGATATATACCTGCACCTGTAATCCGAATGGCCTTTGATTAGAATATACCCCTCTCTGAGGATCACTTGAGCCCGGAAGTCTGAGGCTGCAGTGAGTCAGGATTGTGCCACTGAACTCCAGCCTGGGTGACAGAACAAGATCCTGTCTCTAAGGGAAAAAACAAAAAAAACTGCCCTTTCTTTGATTTTAGTCTTCAAAAAAGGCTAACTAAAATCTAAGATCCTTCCTTTCTTGTGTCTCCCATGCCTACAGTGTTCTGCATGAACCCTTTTCTGAGGATAATACTTGCCAAGCAGCTCTTAGCCATGCTCCATCGTGAAGGCGGGCATCTTTCTCCATGTTTCTTTTCTAGTATGCATATACACTATCCAAAGATTGGAATCCTTCCCACCTCCTCAAGAGGGAACCAAAATGACTTCCAACTGACCCTCAACACTGGACATTTACTAGAAACAACCTTGTCTGTAAGTCCAACTCTGTTTTTTAAGAGCCTTTCTTCAGAGGTCCTGAGGGTTATAGGGAAGGATATCCCCAAAACTGGATTCCTATAACCTTTATCATAATACAATTTTAAGTTACTTCTACCAATCTCTGCTCTGAAGAGTCAAGTGGCTACAAAGTTTGAATTTCAGTGGGGGGAAAAAGCAGCTGTCTACTGAGAAATTCCTAATCCAGGCAGTCAAGTGTCTCTGATGAAATAATGGAACCAGAGCTGGCTCCTATACCTGGCAATTGTAAGGCTTTGGCCAGGTGAGGGCCTGATGGCCACAGCTAGTCTTGGTACCAGAGTCACCACGCTTTTCCTTAAACCAAGCTGGAAACACCACAATTAGTGCTATAGCCACTCTAGGAGAGAGAATGGAAATCCCTGCTTTAGAGGATAATTCTGACCCAGCTGTCCTAAGAATCCACTGTGTTTCACAGGCAAAATAAGAAGAAAAACAAGAATAAGCTAGTATTAAGACAATCTTACTTATTAGAACACCAAACCAGGGCTCAAGATCTCTCCTTGATCAGTCTGGCTAGGACACGTAATGTATTATGAACAAGGGGGTGGGAGTGGGGGGAATTCCCAATTCCATCTAACAAATAATGCTACCCTATAAATATGATTCCTTGGCACACACAGAAACTTCTTTCCATACTGACATGTCCCTCAGCTCACTGGAAATGCATCAGGTTCGTGATTCATTGGGTTTTTGCTTCTCAAGGCATAGCTCATTGTGTTATGGGCCTAATGAGACAACAAGGACTCTAGCAGCCTCAGACTAAATGAGAAACTGTAGCTCCTGTTTGTTAACAAGGCTGCCACTCTAAAGGCAGAAGGGCAGTCTTCTCCCAAAATTCTGCTAAGCACAGCAGGAACCCCCACTTACAGCAAGCTACCTGGAAGCTAAAAGCTACTTCATTACAAGGAGCCATTTGCTCATATTACTTATTCCCTGCCTCTTCATAGGAACACAATTAAGGGAACAAAGAGGGACCATTAAGCAGTTCACCCTTGTCAACTTAATACCACTGGCATTACAGACAGGAATTTGTGTTCTGCAGGTTTACACACCTACAGCTATCACTTATGCAGAGCCCTGGAAATCTGATTCAGTGACTGCTCTGCACACAGGAAGAGCTCCATATGGCCTCGGCATGCTTCACTCAGAGGCAGGTAATTGACAGCCTGGATGCCCAGCCTATAATATCCTTTCTTCTTGTGCAGGAGAGGGCTGATGACTTCCATGTGGAAAATCAGGCCCACTGGACCTGCATTCACTCTGTGCCTACTTCTGGTGCAGGACAAATGGAAGCAGAGAACCATGAAATGCCAGAGGTGGAAGGGATCCTAACCATCACAGCAACAGCTAGAGAGCACCTGGTTCTGCTCTTTCATTTGTCGATGACAAGCCTGGTTCCAAAGGTCCGGGGACTTGTCCAAGGTTATACAGAAAGCTCACAACAGAGCCACGGCCATAAAAGTCAATTCCCCTGCTTCTGGACCAGATTGGCCTCATTTTCTTCTGGCTTTCATTTTTTCCTCCATCCAATTGCTCATACCCAGACAACAAGTCTAGAGTGATCTTTTCTTCTTGGTGCTGGCTCCGACCAGCTATGGGATTAAAAATCTCACAATAAAGCAATAAACCACTTTTCTTTGAGCCTTCCTAGCTCCCACTCTAGCAGTTCTGTGTCATAGTCAATATAGCAATAACTGATTTTCAACAGAAAGGATTCTGCTCTTTACTAAATTACTCCTTAATCTTTTTTCCCTACTTTCGTCCAAGGCCTGGCAATAAATCAAAGCTGAAATATATATACATACATACATATATATATATATATATTTTTTTTTTCCTGTTATGTGGAAAGTAACATTTCTGCTGCACAGAAAAGCTATGAGCAGTCACCACCTATGAGCAATGGAATGTCCAGTTGGAGTGTGGGAGCTTTCTGGGAAGATATACTCCAGCAGCTGCAACTTCCATGAATATTTAGCACTTCTGAGCACAGAGAAGACTACAGCCAGTCCTGATGCCGCTGGAGCCCCTTCTGAGGGGGAAAAACATCTACACAGCATGTGTATGTGCGTGGGTGTATGTGTCTAATGCTTTTAAGCCAGCTGCATGTTCAGGTCATCAACCTGATAAGCACTCCTAGAGCTAGGTATACTCTGGCTTCCCCTAAAGGCTTCTGTGAGTCATCCGACAATGACCAGGCTTAGGAATAGGAATACAAATACTGGGGCAAATTGCTTGCCAAAGACAAAGCCTACGTTTGATGAAGTCAGTGTCTCTTGAGATATGACAGCGTCTAGGTTATTAAAGCTTTAACAGTAAAAGAAAAGATGGAGAAAAGCCACAGAGTCCAAAAAAATATACGCATTAGTACACTTTGAAGAAGATTTAACCATTCACACTACAGCATATGAACAAAATCTGCCTGGATCATATGCAGGCCATATCACCTCTATATCATGTACCTATAATCACCAGGGAGTTAGCATTAGCAAATTCGGTGTTTCGCCATCTTCCAAAAGCTGACTATGCTGGCCCAACTGATCCAGAATTCCAGGCTATTCAGAAGCAAGTTCTAGAAAATACACCTCAAACTCTCCCACCTAGGAGAGTAATATGGAGATCTCCCCCTTCTCTCTCCCAGCCACCACTTCTTGACACTGTGTTATTGCCACACTGTATGCTTTAGAAAGTCTTGGGAGAGTAGAAAGTTCTGAGTATAATCCAGTGTTTCTTTAAGAGCCTTGCCCAAGCATTATGGATTTAAACTCAAGTCTTTGTTAAGGAGGGGCAGAAGGCATTTATAGAAACCCAGCCCCAAATGAATATGCTCCTTATTCTTAGGCTTTTCCTTGTTAAAAAAATAAAAGTGGGGGGTAATGAGGCAAACTTCTATTTATATAAAAATACAGAAGGGCTGGGCGCGGTGGCTCACGCCTGTAATCCTGGCACTTTGAGACGCCGAGGCGGGTGGATCCCCTGAGGTTAGGAGTTCAAATCCAGCCTGACCAACATGGAGAAACCCTGTCTCTACTAAAAATACAAAAATTAGCTGGGCGTTGTGGCCCATGCATGTAATCCCAGCTATTTGGGAGGCTGAGGCAGGAGAATAGCTTGAACCCAGGAGGAGGAGGTTGTGGTGAGCCGAGATCATGCCATTGCACTCCAGCCTGGGCAACAGGGGTGAAACAGTGTCTCAAAAAAAAAAATATGGAAGGATTTATTGCATGCACTTGGATCTACTAGAAATGTATTATTATCCAGAGGTGATAATAAGAGGCTGCAAATCTAGAAACCCTTAGATGAGACATTATAAGAATTTTGTAATTAAAGGAAAGAATTAACCACAGAATTTGTACCTAGCATAGAAATCTTCCCCTATCTCCAACACTGACTTTTACATTTTTAAAAGGGCTTCCTTGTATTTATAAATTTTGTTAAGCTAAAGTCATCCTTCTGGTTCCATGCTTATACTGAATAAAAGAAACTGTCATGGTCCATGGCAATATTGTAAAAAAATAATTAACTCTAACTTCTAGGGACAAAGTGATGAGAGTAATTAACTGTTTTATATTAGCTGATTTTTAAATTACAGAATAGGGCACTGAATAAGCTACAAAATGAGTATTAAAATCATATATTTTCAATAAATATTCCATAAATATATTCTCCTAATGGCAGAAAGTGTTAGCAGAGCATTTTAAAGATAAAAGATTAAAGAAAACATAATTTTTTCACACTTCTAAGTGATTGTGTTATTTGCCTCATGATAACATTTCCTTTTCAAAAGGGTAGACTATTCTTTTCAAATAAACTTCTTTGATCTTCCAGCCCCTGCCATCCCACGTAATTCCTGTCTTTTCTAATTGAGTCTTCATGACTCAATTCATGTTTGTCCTGGTGTAGTCTTCATGTGAAATGAACAGGAAAAAATACAAGAAACAGGAATAAGATGTTTGGGGCAGAAGCACTAAAGCTTGCTAATCAGGCACAGTCTAGGGAACAGTGATTAAAGGGAAGCTCTACATCTTGTATTAAAAGACAAGAGGCTTAACAGCAAGAAATGAGACTGTTTAGCTGACTGGAGCCAGGAGAAAATGTACGCTTTACTTTCTGTGTGGTATGGTAGATCAATAATGGGCCTGTCTGTGAGAGCTATATTAAAATTCTTTGTGAGTTTGAAAGGTCTTCTTCCAGATTACCGGTACACATAATACAGATTTATAATTCGAAGAGCTGATGAGAAAGCAAAGTCTTTTAAAGCACACATTGATGCACTTTTCAACAAACTCAAATTTCAGCGATGGGAATAAACCCGCAACCCTCTACCTCAGAAGCTGTCAAGGGAAAATACTTCTTATCTATGCGGTCTTCTTCCTCTTCATCGGGTGGTGGCTTTGCTGGAGGCGGTGGACGTTCCCTCTGGAGAAGAGAAAAAAAATAAACATTTTGCTATCTTTTTTTCAAACATCTGATTTTTTGGTTTGTCCTCATCTTAGCCCTTGGAAATGAAAAAGAATAATGCACGGAACTCCCTTGAGAGACTAAAGTCAAGGTTTAGTCTCTGAACAGATGGAGAACTCTGTGCACACATACACAATTCAATTAGCGTACTCTACGGTTTTTGATGTCTGTAGCAGAGATCATAAACACCTCTTTCATATCCTAGACCACAGTGAGAAATGCCAGTACTGAAAACACATAACTGCCTTGTTAAAAAATGTCCTTCATAATATTGATACATGAAACTTTACCTTAGGAAAATCAGTGGCACTGGATCAAAAGAAATCAACCTGTGAAATTCATTCTAACGAATCCAGGTTACTGAGGAAGTAATGAGGAAAGTAATCAAGGACAGAAACATTAATTCCTGTTGAAACTTCAACACCCTGATACTGGCTATTCCCATTTATTAGCGAAATGCTGAAACTGTTCTCTTATCCTCAGTTGCCTCCTTCAATATCAAGTATTATATAAAACTCTATTTCATCTAAACCCATTTTTAAAAGGAAAAGAAGCTTTTTCTTTAAGGGCCATATAGTGAATATATTAGGCTTTGCAGTCAACTCTGCCATTATAAAGAAAAAGTAGCCACAGATGATATGTAAATGAACGAGTGTGGCTGTGCTCCAATAAAACTTTGTTGACAAAAACACACACTTGCGGACTATAGTTTGCCAACCCCTGCTCTAGAATAAGAAAGTCACTGAGGAGGTGACACAGGATAAGTTAGACCATGGGTAAACAATTTCAGGAATACACAGGATGATCCTGATGAAGGAAAGCTGAATGCTGAAGAGATATTTGCCATTGGACCTGCAGGGCCACTGCTTATATTCCAAAGCCCTGCTCATGCTTGAGAATCAGTGTTCCTACTAAAGGGAGTGGGGCACCCAAACAAGAGCTGTTCTGCAGGCTTATTCCCTGGCTTGTAGGTTTGTTCACTATGTCGTTAAAACAGGAGTATTTCAGAAAGCCAGAGCAGAGAATGCTGACTTACGCAAGAGCCCAAGAAAAATCTACATGGAAAGATGTTTCTCATGCTTCAGGAGCTACCAGCATTAGCATGTTGGCATCCATAATCTTTCTCTTAAATCAGGCTTCACTGCTCAGTGTTCTGTCTTGATAAGTCGGTCATTCCCACAGACCCTGGAACCAGATGGTTGCCCAATGGCAACAACTTCAAAACAAGTTTGTGTGTTCAAGCCAAACAAAACTATTTATATCCAATTTCCCACTAAGTCCCACTTTCCCCACCCGTCTTTGCTCCAGAAGTGCAGGAACCTGGTCCCAGTGCCACCTTTTAAGGAAGGGAACAGCAACCTTGGGACACCAAGTAGCTGAGGGGAAAAAAAACGAAACACAACAACAAAGAGAACTCATCCTAAAGCCTTCCTAAGGCCAAGAAAAGCCTAGAACGAACAATATGGAAGCCTTCTGCAGAAGAAGCAACCACCAGGGACACTGGAAGGAAAGAGAAATACCTGCGAATCTCTTTAGTTCTAAGGTGAAAACTTTGGAGCAGGGCCTAGAAATAACAGCGACAATTTACGCATACCATCCATTGTGTTTACCAAGATGTAAACAGGCCCTTTGCCATAGTTAATTATCAAGGGCCAGGGAGACGGCACAGCCACAACATACACAAGTAAAATTGTCAAAGCATCCACCCGTTTCTGCTCAGGAGCACAGAAGAGAGAGCAGGAGGGAACAAAGAGACCAGTGTAAATCAATCACAGGAACTCATTCTCAGCTTTTTTCAGTAACCCTGAGCTGCATCTTGCAAAGGCTCCGGCGCCCCCTAATGGGCACCACCTGTAAGTACCAATTAAAGCACCACCTTCCTCTAAAGCTGGATTTGCTTAATTCAGTTGTGCCTAAAAGCAAAAGAAGTGAACAAACTGTCTATAGAAGCGCTATATTGGTGGTGCTCAGCACATGCACTTGGCTTTCACCACTCACAAGTTTTGTCACAGTCCTTGATAACATCAACTCTGGAGGACTACCACTAGACTGCGGGCCTTTTCAAGATCCACAATAAAATGCTGTTTCGGGGCATAGCAGGGCAGGGTAAGGAGCCAAACAAAAAAGAACACTCCAAGAATCATGAAGCCATTCCCATGGCACACCTACAAAAAACAAGAGTTACCTGGCAGCCAAAGGATCATCAATGTGGTCACAAGCCAGATTCAGACCAAAAGGGAAGGGCTAGCACCTCCAACAGAAAAAAATAACATAGGCCTGAAAATATGTCTCTAGGTGAGGTTAGCACAAGAATCGTGTTACAGCAATGGCCAGTTTAGCTAATGGGCAATGCTCAAAACCCAAGGAGGGTCAGTGGGACCAACGATTCAGGCCTACACTGCCAGCATAACCATAGGGGAGAAGCCAGGGGTAAGCTGTCTTGAGAACAATGTACAAGACTAGAAGTAAAAGCAGGTACAGACTGTCCGGCCTGTGATGGTACAATGTTTCAACCTTATCATTGTGAGAAAGCAATAAGCATTCAGTAGAATCTGTACTTCCGGTACTCACACAACCATTCTGTTTTTCACTTTCAGTGCAGTATTCAATAAATTACATGAGCTATTCAACACTTGATTATAAAACAGCCTATGTGTTAGATGATTGTGCCCAATTGCAGGCTCATATAAGTATTCTGAGCACATTTAATGTAGGCTGGGCTAAGCTATGGGATTTGGTAGGTTAGGTGTATTACCTGTGTTTTTGACTTAATGAGATTTTCAACTTACAATGGCTTTATCAGGATATAATCCCATCATAAGTCAAGGAGCATCTATACTAGAGAAAGAAACAGAAACACGGGAAGGTAGACCTTCAGAAGGAAAAATTCAGACTTGTTCTCATTCTATTATCTTTTTTTGAGACAGAGTCTTGCTCTGTTGCCCAGGCTGGAGTGCATTGGTGCAATATCAGCTCACTGCAACCTCTGCTTCCCAGGTTCAAGCGATTCTCCTGCCTCAGCCTCCCAAGTAGCTGAGACTACAGGTGTCTGCCACCACACTCGGCTAATATATATATATATATTTTTGGATTTTTAGTAGAAATGGGGTTTCCCCATATTGGCCAGGCTGGTCTCAAACTCCTGACCTTGTGATCTGCCCGCCTCAGCCTCCCAAAGTGCTGGGATTACAGGTGTAGCCACCATGCCCGGCCACTATTATCTTAATGGCAGGAGGCATTATAATTAGATAAAATAGGAATGCCACATATTAATAAATATAATGTTAAGCCCTGCTACAACCCTGTTGAATCCAGAACCTGCCCCAATCTAAATGGAGAATCCTTTCTGAGGGCAAGTGAATGGTGAGTATGTACTCAGGACAGACAGGAGCTCATTTCAGTGAGCTTTTTTCAGTGTATGTTTCTGCTTTTCAGAGAGAAAATAGACAACATATAGCAAAGATTCCAAAGACAGAAGCAACACTAAGACTAAATAGAAATAAAATGCTTTAACTTGCTCTAAGGCCCATGAAGTCACGTAAAGATGCGAGCTGGTTATAGTGAAATTGGAAAAAGAGAAACTCAACCTCAGTGTGGTCTGTATGGTTTTAGCACACTCAGCAAGAGAGACCCAGCAGAGCCCCGTGATGAAAAGCAGAAGTAGGCTCCAGGCCTCAGAAACATGAGCTGGCACCAGGGATCACACTTCCCTTCCCTGTGCCCCAGCACCTCACAGGCCAGCCAGCCAGCACAGCCCCTAGGAGGTGTACGCCCCGGGCCACATACAGGCCTCACTCCAGCAGGTTTCACTCCTGTCGCCTCAGCCTCCTTGTTCACGGAGTCTCGGTCAGATGATCGCCCACTGGCCATGCTGTCCAACGAATGGCAGGAGACAGCATTGTACAGGGCTTCGTAGGGTCCCTCTTCTTCAGCGTTTGCGTCAAAATCGATAATCAGTTCAGTCACTGCTTTCTCCACGTCACCTGAGAGGAGGTTGGAGGGCAAGAGAGTCACTAAAGGGGAGCAGAATCTCAGGTTCCAACCACTGCAGCAACCCAAAGCCTCTTAGTCACCTGCGGTCACAAACACTAACCCAGAGCAAGAAAATGATTACTTTGTTCCATGGACAAGAATACATACAGTTTCAGCTGTTCTTCATACTCTGAGATCTAAATAGGTTTTTCTCTAATTCAGTATGAAAAACCACTGACATCTATAAAGACCTTTATAAAGTCCCAAAATACCGTAATAACATAAACTTAACCCATAAAATATAGCAAAGTGTAACTGAAAAACTTAGTTACCCCTATATTCCTTAATAAGAGCCTCCACATGCTCAAGCAAAATAGAGGATGGCAAAGACTTTCTGAGCTAGAGGTCTGTGCAGGTGTTAGCCTGGCCTGTTAGACAACTATCAACCTCAAAACACCTGCAATCCGAATGTATGACTCTGCAAAGTTACCAACTGTTAGAGGCCAGGCAACTCTGGGTTGCCTGTAAATAATCAAAACTATAGGTCAGGTGTGGTGGCTCACACCTGTAATCCCAGCACTTTGGGAGGCCTAGGTGGGTGGATCATGAGGTCAGGGGTTTGAGACCAGTCTGGTCAACATAGTGAAACTCCATCTCTACTAAAAATACAAAAAATCAGCCAGATGTGGTAGTGTGCACCTGTAATCTCAGCTACTCGGGAGGCTGAGGCAGGAGAGTCACATGAACCCAGGAGGCGGAGGCTGCAGTGAGCCAAGATCACACCATTGCACTCCAGCCTGGGCGACAGTCCGAGACTCTGTCTCAAAAAAAAAAACTAAACTATAAATGTAAAATCCTTGAGAGGTTAGCGAACTACTAATCCCATTACTAGCAGATTATCAGGTCAAGAAAAAAAGTGCATGTGGGAGGGAGACAAGGACTCCACAGTACAGAGAGCTGGGTACCCTTTAGCCCTTATCTCTCTGCACCTGTCTGGGAAATCCCTTTCCCTTTTGCATTTTTAGCTTTTTCTAGCCTTCTTTATTGTGATCTATATTTGGGGAAAGGTGTCAGTCTTTATTCTATCTTTGTATTCATCACATCAAGGACCCAGAAAGCTGCTAAATATATCTGAAAAGGTGGATCCTGACTACTGACAGATAGGCTGGGCTCCCCAAGCTCCCATTCAGGCCACATTTGTTGGCCAAATGATATATTATCCAAATTTACCATGTATCCACCAACAACCAGATGATACTCATTAAATATTTATTACTGGTCAACTATGCACAAGGCACTACATTGTGTGTTAGAAAAAGAATGTTTCACTGAGATTTGAATTCATCTTGAAATGATCCTCGCTATTACACATCCCAGAATAGATCTCACAGAGCCAACTGGAAAAGTGGCGGCTAAAACAAAATAGAAGAGGCCCACAATCCAATGCATAAACGATGTCCAGTAAAACTTCATATAGCAGTTGGCCCAAAATGAACTGAATATAAACTTATTAAGTATTCACAACCCCCCAAAATTATTAAATTAATGTTTTTCTATTCTGCCCACAAATGTTCAACTGTTTCCAAGCTGAACACCCCTTTACTGATAGGGGAGAGTTACCTTACCCTGAGACTTCTGCGATATGGAGTCCATACTGGAGATGAGAGGTGGCTGGGGTGGGGGGGTTTTATCTACTTCTTTTGTACTTCTTCTTCCTGTCATGTGATCTACATGGAAAGATTAAAAAAAAAAAAAAAAAAAAAAAAAGCTGCACCAAATACAAATGCTTTGGTTTCATTCGTGTGTCCCTTAGTCACCCAGACAGGGAGAGAGGACGATACCTTCAATTAATGCTGCTATCTGCTGGCTCTTTTGAGAAGGCAGTTCCCGAACAGTGTCTAGGGCAGTCAGTCCACGGTTATCTTTTATGTTGACGTCAATTCCTAGAAAGGCACACCAGGTGGACCAGGGGAGTGAGCATTTTCAAGTCAGCCTCCAAAAAGGTCAAATTTTAGGACATCTAAGGCTCCCAGCAGCGTGACCAACATTTTTCATCCAAAGCCATTTAATCCAGCTATTCAAGAACAGTTTACACACTTGTGATCAACCAGTGGAAATACACATACATTGAGTTCAAACATAGCCAGCAAAAATCCCCCTAGGGGACTAGGGAGAAACAATCCCAACCCTAGCATGCTGTGTAGACAAGAGCGCTGCCGACCTCTCACCTGCAGCCAGCAGGATTTGCACCACATCGGTCTTGCCAAACAAAGCAGCCTCATGCAAAGCACTGCCCATCTCCGTCTGGAAAGCAAACGAGAGCGCAGAGCGGCATGTCATCAGAACAGTTTGGTGCGGCTTCACGTGACAAACGGGACACAGACAAGAAGGGACACAAAATAAAACAAACCACACAAAGCCCTCTGTCATTATCTTTCCAACCTTTCTTATGTGGATTCCAAAATCACGACTGTGGCCCATACATCAAGGCCATGTCTTTGACATAGGCAGGCCACGTGTGAATAACTGAACAGTTACTCTTAGAGCCATCTACTGGTGAAAGGCGTCAGAATTCTACCTTCCTGGGTGGAAGGAGTAATGAGAAGGAAAGTACAAGAGAAACACCCTCACTTCAAATGTGGTTTGGTCAACACAAAGGCTAAGGAATCATTCAGCTCAATGGGAAAGGCTAACAAAGAAAGGAAATGTGGCATAACTTGCTGGCAATGTCAGCTGATGAGACTTTGGAGGCGCTAAATGATGGCAGTGGGAACACATGGATAGGAAGATAATGAAATTTTTCTGGTTTTGAGAGACAGTCCACAAGCACATCTTTTCAGAGTTTAATGACTACAGATTGCCCCCTGAAAAGAAACAAAAAAAATAGACTCACTTGAGGAGTTCATTTGTTTTTAAAGTTTCATGTTAAAATGATTCAACAAATGGAAGCATCTGAAACATGATGTGAAACGTGCTAAATAAAGAGCACAGCCCAGCAGCATGGTACTAGTGCCTTCTGCAAAATGACTGAGTCCCCTGAGATTGGAGGAGCCCCCACCCACCCTGCTACCTGGTAGTTGCTGTCCATGCCGGCATCGAGGAGGACCTGGACCACAGCTTTGTGGCCATTCCTTGCTGCCAAGTGCAGAGGGGTGTGCTTCTTAGTGTTGCAGCTCAGGAGGTTGGGGTGTGCATTAAGGAGCATTTTCACCACCTCCAGTCGCCCGTACAGTGCTGCCAGGTCCAAAGGGGTCTCGAATTTGTTGTTGCGCATGGTGGGGTCCGTCAGCTCCTCTAAGAGCACCTTCACCACCTCTGTGTGGCCATACTGCGCTGCACAATGCAGGGCTGTCTCGTTGTCATTGTTCTAAAGGGTTAACAAGCAGATCACATCAGAAAGCTGACTGGCAGCTGGGCACCTGACTGGGACAATCACATGTAAAACCACTGAAATTTAAATGAGAAAAATAGCAGCAATACTTGGGGACTAATAAAAGTCAGAATCCAGGCATCTTCCTGAACAAACAAGCCTGGCTGCTCTAATCAGCGACACCTTCCCCCAGTGACTGTGAGAGGGGGGAAGTCATCTCTTATACACTGGCAATCCCCTGTGTGCCATGAAGGAAGTGTCTCCAAGTTGTAAGGACAGTGAACAACGGAATGTGGCAGGCATTTGGTGGAAGCCCTGGCAGAATGAATACCGATAATATCACTGCTATTGTTTCAGTTTAAACTTCAATTGGTTTTAGAATTTATATGTAATCAACCCTATGGTTCTGATTCTGGATTTGTCAACCATCCATTGCCTTACACATAAGCTTTTTAATAAAAGTTTGTCATCTGTGTAGCTTCTTGCATGCAAATCAATCAGCCAACAGTAAAAGTAACAGAGCAGACTAAAAATCGCTCAAGGTATCAGCCAAAAGCCATTTCCAGGGAAAGGAAGCACTCGGGCTCAGTCACAGAGAAATAGGGGACCCTGCCGCTGCACTGCGCCTACTCCAGGAGCCTGCACCAATCAACGCATGCAGTATCTACTTCATTAAAATGGCAGCCAGCACAGGAAGGTGTTTCTTATGTAAGGAAGAGGTAAACGCTGCCATGTTTTGTGTGAGAGGTGCAAAATATTCAAACGTAATATTGCTATCAATTCAAGCTCGCAACCCACAGTCCTCTAAGGCCAATTTTGTTTCAAACTAAAGACAGAATTTGAGATAAAATGGGAGAATTTTGTGCTTTATCAACCATGAGAAGCAAAATGTTAGTCATTCCAGTTATGCTCTTTTACTACTGACTGTATAACTGGAGCAGAAATAAAGTAATTCTCATGACCTCTCCTTTTTGAGAAGCACTAATGAAAATAATTCTCCCACAAGATTACTAAATTTATCCAGGAGGCTTCTGCTACTTTTGGAAAAGAAAACTTAAGAGGGGGTTTGTCAGTCAAGTCAATATTGTGCACCTTTCAGTGGCCAAAAGGTCAAAATTAAATGTTTCTGCAATTGCTTTAATTCTACTAATAACATTAAAAGTAATGGATTAGGAGTTACCCAAACATGCATGCAATTCCATCTGCTTTTGATCTGGCATTTGACTGCATCATTTTTTCCAACTCTACCAAGTGTACCAGAAAGATCCACAGCTGCTGGGAGCAAGTCCCCAAAAGGTGAGAAAAATGTTTAAATGAAATAAGGACAGAAAAAGTAGTAACAGGACACATGCAAAGATGAATGCACACAAATAAACAGAGGATGCAGAGGAAGCTGCAATGAGCTCCAACACAACTTAAGGAGAGCAGATGCCAGGAAGGTGCAGACAGCCTTCACTGGCCAGAGGATGCAGCCAGCCTTCCAGCCACGGCCTCCTATGATATGACTGGGCCCCAAGCAGCAAGTTCCATGTAACCTCAAAGTCTGGAGGAAGGGGAAATGCTGGGCAGAAAGCAAGTCCTTGAGGTCTTCCCTGTCCCAAACAAACCTTTTAGGATGCCCATTTTGAAGGCCTATTTCCTATTAAGCTATGGTATGAGTTTCCTAAGCAAACTTAGAGCTGTCTCTTCAGTTTCTCTCTTTTTTTAACTCAACATTTCTCTGGTTGGCTATCACTTTCTCTTGATGAACCAACACCTACAATAACAAAAACTCACAGGATCTTTCTGTAGAGTAATTCTGGGGCAGAGTGGTGACCCAAAGAAGCTTAAAAGGATTCTCTGGGTTGTACATCTCAAGATGAGTGTGATAGAAAGAGCCAAGAAAGTCCCCTTATTCTTATTAAAACTCCAGTCCAGAAAAACTATTCTGAAGCAAATACTACTGTCTCATTTATATCCAAGTTGTCTCCCAGCAACCAGAATAAATTGTCCTTGATTTTATAAAAAGTATGTATTAGGGCTGAAGAACTGTAAAAGTCTAAACCATCCAGCAAAGGAAAAAAAACGAAAAACTTTTCTCTATTTCTTTTTTGGCAGAATGCAAGCAGTTCTCACAAAGACCTGCTAAAGGCAAGGTCATAATCACTACTGGCAAATTTCCTGCCTCATGTTAAAAATGGTCTAACGACATCTCTGCAGAAAGTTACACCCATAGTCGCAGTATAGGGAGCACGTTACTTAGGTTTCAGTCACGCCAGACATGGTCTGGTAACTATAATACCCAAGTTTATTATTCCTATGGTGACCACATCCATCACTGACACAGGCCATCACAATAAACTCTGATTGCCGTAGGCTTTATGAGCCTGACAACTATCAGGGCAGGAACTATCAGTGATTCTCAAACTGGCTTTACTTTGGAGCTTAAAAATAACTAGTAGGAGGTCCAACCTCAGATTTGCCAAAGTAGCACTTCAGAGAGGAAGGCCCAGCAAACTCTTATTAAGTGCTGGTTAATGGACTCACAAGAAAAGGAGGGATTCGAAGCAGCAGCATAGACTTCTGATCATCTGGAATGTTTCCCTGCCACACCGTCCAAATTGCACTACAGGTGCTCACAATACTTCCAGAGTTCCCAGAATTCTATTACCATGAATCTGGGCTGAGAAAGGAGAGTAAGAGGAAATAGCCCAAGTTTCCCCCAAGGTTTTTGCACAAATTCTCCATTCCTGCCCATCTTAAGACCCACTTCCATTTTTTCCTTACTATGGTCAGGACTTCTAAGAAAAAGGCATCCTGATAAATAACTCATACATCTGAAGACTCCATTCAATGTATAGATCCATTATACGTATGTATATATATGCATAAACTACAAGCAGCAGAAAATCGTAAAGAAACTTTTTCCTGGCTGGCTGCAGTGGCCCACGCCTGTAATCCCAGCACTTTGGGAGACCAAGGCGGGTGGGTCACCTGAGGTCAGGAGTTCAAGATCAGCCTAGCCAACATGGCAAAATCCCATTTCTACTAAAAATACAAAAATTTGCCAGGCATGGTGGTACATGTCTGTAATCCCAGCTACTTGGGAAGTTGAGGCAGGAGAATTGCTTGAACCTGAAAGGCAGAGGTTCCAGTGAGCTGAGATACCGCCACTGCACTCCAGCTTGGGCGAGAGAGCAAGATTCCATCACAAACAAACAAACAAACAAACAAACAAAAATCTTTTTCCTGGCCTTCCTCCTCTTGGAACTATTTCAGGACATCACCTCCTAGTCTCTTAGTGCTCACAGCCCAACTGCACGCTTATCCCTTGTTGGCAGATGGTGAAATTAGGGACAGCTAGCCTACAGCTATCTGCAGCATGAAAGTATAGGCCCTAGAAAAACATACCATAATTGGAAAGAAAGGAAAAACTAGGTCTGAGATTGAGATGACACAAGAAAAATGAAAGCAAATTCATCATGTGGAAGAAGAGTTAGATTTACTCTGTACTGCTCTGGAAAGCAGAACTCTGATCCAAAAAAGGAAGGTTTAGGAAGATAGATACCAGCCAAACTTAAGAAACCAAAACTCAATGGAATCCAAAAACAGGCTGCCAAATAGTAATGAGTTCTGTTTGTTATTACGGAAAACAAGAAAATACTTAAAATAAAGGGTAGCGGGTCCACCTTTCAAGTGACAGAGGGAAAGATTCCTCCTCTACATGGAAAGTTGGCCTAAACTGGTGGTTCTCAAACCAGCTTTATTTTAGAATCACATGGGAACTAAAAAACAAAAACAAAAACAAAAACAAAAAAACTAGTAGTAGGTCCAACCCTAGATTTGCAGGCACCAACTTAAGCAATCAATCGTAATCATCAAGAATGAGACAAATCAACGTCATGTGCCTCGTTGATGCAAGGCACTAAAATGTATATAATACCACTTCCGTGGCATTATGGTTTGTATGCCTAAAATGTATACCCAGAATCTAATCCTGAGGAAACAACAGGCCAAGATAAACTGAAAGACAGTATACAAAACAACTGGCCTGTGCTCTTAAAAACCATCAATGCCATGAAAGACTAAGGAAGGCCGAGGAACTGTTCCATATTATTAACACGTGTGATCCTGGACTGGATTCTCAATCATAAATTGCTCTTAAAGGGCATTTTTGAGGCAACTGGTAAAATTTGAACATGGATTCTATATTAGATAACAGTATCGTATCAATATTGAATTTTCTAAATGTGATAAATGTATTGTGGCTTTGTAAGTGAATGTCCTTCTTCTTAGGAGATTTAGGTCAAAGAACTAACTAATACCAAAATGGAAGTGTTCAGGATCAAAGGGTCATAATCTCCATGACTTAATATCAAATGTTTCATCAGTGACAATTATTGTGTGTGTGTGTGTGTGTAGTGCGTATATACACACTACACACACACACGTCTGTAATCCCAGCTACTTGGGAAGTTGAGGCAGGAGAATTGCTTGAACCTGGAAGGCAGAGGTTCCAGTGAGCTGAGATAGCACCACTGCACTCCAGCTTGGGCGAGAGAGCAAGACTCCGTCTCAAAAAAACAAACAAACAAAAATCTTTTTCCTGGCCTTCCTCCTCTTGGAACTATTTCAGGATATCACCTCCTAGTCTCCTGGTGCTCACAGCCCAACTGCACACTTATCCCTTGTTGGCAGATGCTGAAGTTAGGGACACCTGGCCTACAGCTATCTGCAGCATGAAAGTATAGGCCCTAGAAAAACATACCATAATTGGAATATTTATATTCACACAGAAAGAGAAAAAGCAAATGTAGCAAAATGTTAACAACTGGAGTATCAAGAAGAGTACACTATAGTTCATGGCATTATTCTTACAACTTTAAGTTAGAAGTTTTTTTAAATAAAAAGTTTCTTGGAAGCTTACTAGGTGATTCGAATGCAACCAGAAAGGTTGCTCAAATCTGGAGACAACTGTTCTAGATAAAATTTCAAGGCTCTTTCAGTTCTAAGACTGTGAAATAATTTTAAATGTACCAAAAAAATAGATCTGCCCTAATATTAATTTGTTACTCATTTTATGATACTCAGACTAAGTAAGAATTGTTAAGAGGGGAAAAAGAAGCGATTTTCATGGTTTTGCCTTAGCTAAGGATAATTTACATTTGGCTGGTTTACACTGACTTGTTGAAAAAGGAAAGGCCCCAAATGCTGAAGAAGAGGAAGCCTCCTAAAAACTACTTCTGCTCCCAAAAAAAGCCATCTGAGACGTCTTAATTTGTACAGGTGCCTGACAAGACTTCGCATTTAAAAATACTTTAACAAAACAAGTCCTAGACATAAGCCAGATCCATAAAAATCCGCTGAGTCAGGATAAAACCTAGGGAGGTCAGTTTTTTTTTTTTTTTGGAGACAGAATTTTCTCTGTTGGCCATGCTGGAGTGCAGTGGCATGAACTCGGCTCACTGCAGCCTCTGCCTCTTGGGTTTAACTGATTCTCCTGCCTCAGCCTCCAGAGTACCTGGGATTTTGTGTTTTTAGTAGACGCGGGGTTTCACCATGTCGGCTAGGCTGGTCTTGAACTCCTGACCTCGAGTAATCCATTCACCTCAGCCTCCTAAAGTGCTGGGATTACAGGCGTGAGCCACCGCTCCAGGCCAAGGGAGGTTACATTTGAATCAGCTCAAGAAGAGTTTACATTCTCAGCACAAGCCAAACAGCTTTATCTCTCTGTCTGTCTTTCTCTTATTATTATCATATTTTTGAGACAGGGTCTCACTTGGTTGGCCAGGTAACTGTGATCACTGCTCACTGCAGCCTCCTTGACCTCCTGGGCTCAAGCAATCCTCCTGCCTCAGCCTCCCGAGAATTTGGGACTACAGGCATATGCCACCACATCTGGCTAATTTTTTATGTTTTCTAGAGATGGGGTCTCATTATGTTGCCCAGGCTGGTCCCAAATTCCTGGGCTCAATCAATCTTCAGCCTCAGCCTCCCAAATTCTGGGATTATAAGTGTGAGCCACTATACCTGGCCAGCTTTACTCTTAATGTAGTTTGCATCAATTGGCCTTTCAGGGTAGAGGCAAAGGGAATTATTTCCAAAGAAATACGTTCTTACTACATTTAAACTAATTTTATTTTATACGTGCAAAATTAAAGGATAGGAAAATGTACTTTCAAGAACCAAAGTCTTATGCTTTATCAAAGCTTTATAAGCCCACTAAACTAACCACTACTGGGAAAACAATCACTTCAAGTTTCCTCCTCATAAAAGAAAATCCTGAATAGACTAACTGAATAATGTTTCATTAAGTGCCACCTACCAGTAACAGGAACAGATTCCAAAAATGCCTTTGCAGAAATACATTATATACACTTTAAAAACATTGGTATCTCAAATATTACTAGCTATGAGAGATTTTTACTTTATGTACATTATCTTATTTAAACTCCAAAACAATCCAGCAAGGTAGATGGTAGTGTCACATTTTACAAAACAGACAATTGAAGCTCAGAGAAATTAAGTAACATGTTCAAGTCAACAAAACCACTAAATAGCATCCCAGAACTTAAACTCTGGTCTGACATGAAAGCCTATGACTTATGAGTTTTCCACTCTATCACTCTACTTCCAAAACAAAAAAACTAAGATAAGTGTATCTTCCTATTCTGAAGACTAGAAAAACAGAATTTAAGAGTAGGCCAATCACTGCATTTCAGCCTAGGCAACAGAGGGAGACCCTCTCTAAAATAAAAGAAAGAAAGAAAAGAAAGGAAAGGACAGGAAAGGAACAGGGAAGGGAAGGGAAGGAGGAAAGAAAGCGTAAACGAAAATAAAGCTGATGTGCTCCACTACCTAAGGTCAAATTGCTTCTCTACCATTAAGACCCAACAGCTGAACAAGATCTCCTACAGGGCCTTCCTAGGTCCAGCCCATAGGGGGCTTCGTTTGCTAAATCAGTATTTCTCAAAAGCATGAAATATCTGAAGTACCTTATGTTTCTCTTTCCCATTGCAGCAGTTGTCAGAGCAAGTAAAAGGTAGCTAATGTGCATAATGCAGTGTCTCAAGGACACTCCAGATTGTTGCCAAAAAGCAAACTTCATCTGAATAAAATCTTTGATCAAACAACCAGCAGTTGAGAGCACCAAGGAAACGGGCTAACACCATCACCCAATGAACAAGCTCCGCCGCTCAGATGTGGTAAAAGGCTGAAGGGCAGGCAGGGCTGGGCTGTTCATCACTAGACCCATCAGACTACTCTTTGTTCCAGCCTCACGGGGAGGGAGACTAAGGCAGGTGCCCACCTTGGTCCTGCAACATCATTTCCTGTTTCAGAACCCCTCATGGGTTAAGAGTGATCAAGCAGAGAGAAGCAAATGGCTGAAGATACTGGGCCATGGTTTTAAAGCATCAGAGAGAGATGCACAAACTCCAGGAAACGAGAGAGAGGCAGGCAACAGCTTTTAAAGGAATAAAATGGATCACCCATGTCCTTTCCCCCACATCTCCGTCATTAGCTATTGAAACCTGAAAATCAGATTCCATTTCAAAAGACATATAAAAACAGGCCAAAAATAATTTTTTAATTCCAGGAAGTACAATTTAATCATTTTTTTCTATGCTTATTTAAAAAGATAATTTGTCTGATTATCTCTTAACTTCATTTAAAAAATTTTAATAATCCAAATAGTAAATTAAGCATGTAATATGGTCCCTTCTATTTCCCCATTCCTGCCTTTTCAAATATTCTAGAAAAAGCCACCCGTCCTTTCCCAAATTAGTATGGGTTTTAAAAATAAAGCCAAAACCCACTGCAGCTGCATTTTCCCATTCCCAGACAAGCCAAAAGCAGATGGGCTGAAGCAGACAACAGTCAGTGTGATGTGGAGGAGCCTGAGTGGACAAGAGCAGACGCAGAGAGGACCAAAGAGGAGGTACAGCTTGGAGAAGTGATGCAGAGAATTCCTGGCAGCAAAGTACACACCTTGGCATTGATATAAGGGTCAAAGGGGCCGTACTTTTTGAGTTCTTTGATCTCAAGAGCATTCTACAAAAAGGAGAGGAAAAGAAAAAAGTGATGATAAAATGGATGGAATACATCAAAGCAATACACAGCCCTGAGGGAACCCAACCCTAGAACAACCTGAATCTGCCCTCTGGATACCTCAAAGGGAAGTTAATAAGAAAGACAATCTCCAGGGCATCTTACTCTTACCCCACTTTAACTGAAGCATCCTACTGGAACCACATTAATGGTTTTAAAATGAATCACAATAGTACTTGTAACTACTATCTAGATCCATTAAGGTCTTTAAGCTACTGCAGACATCTTGCCCAGCTCCTGCCCACCCACCTGTCTGCCAGATACTCAAAGCACTGGGTTGGGGTCCCACCTATCAACCGATACTCCAGGCAGGAGGCAGCTGTGAGCAGGTTAAGCTAGCACACTCAAGTGGCTCAAAAATCCAAGCAGCTGTGTTTCAAGGCAAAAGTGAGCAAAGAGGATTAGAAATGGTTGCCGAAAATTTCTTAAATGAGAAGGACTTTAATGGGTGACCAGTCTTTCCAACACTGAAGAATATTAGTTATAAGCAAACTTCATTATACATTTCCTTCAGAGAAGAGAAATGATCACTTTAGCTAGGAGGAGTAAAATTACATTTAGATCATTTAGATTCTAAAGAGTTAATTCTGAACAGATACTTTTCATTCCCAAATGTTATAAGCAAACATCCTCATTGATGATTTTAAATGTCTGTTGCTCACCTACCCAGAAAATACAGCCCAAAAGGGGAAAGGCAGGCTGATTAAGCTACATACACACAATCTCCAAATCAAGAGATTTGGGAGCACTATTTTAATTTTCTCATGTCTCAGAATGATGCTACCCTTCTCAGAATCAAAATCATGCTCTTAATAGCTAACTGAGAACTGCATGAGTCTCCTGACAGATGGACTTGCCAGGATGATTTCCTATTTTTTTAGGAAAAACCTTGAGCTAATCCTACAGGTAATTTAACAATCCCCTCTCGGCAAAGTCATTAGAAAAACAGTCCTAAGCTTACTGAGAAAGATCAACATCTCCCTCTTCAAAGAACTGAGAAAAGTATCTGCTTCGGTTCAGAGCAGAGAGAGGAAAAGGGAGAACGGCTTACCATATAAGCCCATTTCCTCTCAAACAGGCACACAACCTCCAACTCGAATGACAGCAGGTTGTATTTATAAGAGGCTTGTTTAAAACTTGCATAATTAAGGTACAATTTTTCCAAAGATATAAATGTAAACAAGAGGAAGTATATTCTCAGAGTAACTAAATCCATGGCCATTGTAAGGTTATTTTTGCTCAAATGCGGCCTTTTTCATTTTCTAAGAATCATCTCTGCTTTTTCAAAGCATGCTCACTCTTTTTTTGTTGTTGTTTTGTTTTCCAAATGGTCAGGCAACTGGAGTATGCTCACTCTTAAATTAATATCGGGGGATATCACGGAAATGATCATTCAACTAAATCACCTCTGACCTCCACTCACATGTTTCTGATTTGCTAGTTCATTTTTCAGCACTAGCATGAGTACTTCCACTGCTGCAAGTTCTGATGTATGTAAAACAACAGCATGGTTTACACAGTATTGACAAACACTGGAAAAGTTACATTGCCATGTCAATGGCATAAACACAATTTAATTTTTGAGACAGGGTCTCACTCCGTCACCCAGGCTGCAGTGCAGTGGCATAATCATGGCTCACTGCACCCTCAAACTCCTGGGCTTAAGTGATCCCCCTGTCTAGGCCTCCTGAGTAGCTGGGACTACAGGTGTGTGCCACACATCTATAGGCATTTTTTTTTTTGTAGAGACAGGGGCCGTCAGGGCAGGTGTGGGGGTCCTTGCTGTGTTGCTTAGGCTCGTCCTAAACTCCTGGCCTCAAGCAATTCTCCTGCCTCAGCCTTCCAAAGTAATGGGATTACAGGCATGAGCCACCGCACCTGGCCTACAATTAATTAAGCTCAGCAGCTTGAAAGTGACTCTATGCAATTTTGTAAGGTTTGCATTATTTCAAATTTTGTAAATAAAGTGAATACAGTTGGCCCTTCATATCCACAGGTTTCATCCATGGTTGGTTAAATGTGCACATGTAGAACCCACAGACAGAGCTATGTTACTTTGTCGTTTTACATAAGGGACTTGAGCATTCTTGGATTTTGGTATCTATGGGGAGGTCCTGGAAACAAAGGGCTGACTGTATATACGTTTTTATTATAGTACTAGTCCAAATATGCATGAGTCAAATGCATATAAAATACACCCTCATAGTATAAGATCTACTAAGAGGAGTAGAACTGTGAAGAGGGGAGTCACATTTAGGATATGGAAGAGGTGGTTCCTTGCTAAAAACTGATTATCAAACAAATTTTTTTAAAAAAGGAGCTGGTTCTTTGAGATTTGAACTATGGGGCTAAGATGGTGATGGGGCTGCCACCTCTGGTTATAGCTGAATGGAGAGAGGAAAGCCTCCCTTCCTTCCGACCTGTTCATTGACTCTGGTGTGTGAAGGCCCTTGATGGATAAGCAACCGCACTATCTGGGCATCTCCTTTCCAAGCTGCCAAATGCAGTGGGTAGCAGCCTTTAGAGTCAGCCACGTTGGTCAGTGCGTCATTCCTCAGAAGAACCTCGACCACATCCCTAGAAGGCAAAAATCAATCATGAGTTTGTAGAACTCATAAGCCTTTCCAGCTAACAGCTCTTTACACCTGTATGGCACAAAGCCCTTTCGTAGATGTCTCATTTGGCTCCCGTGTCTTTACCTGAGCTCACTGCCCAGGCTTTTCCTTTTATTCCATGAGCTACTTGTACAGCTGCTGATACGCAGTTGAACCACCGTAAGCCATGCTATGCTGACTCATCACCTTTCTGTCTAGGCTTTCTTGGTAATCTATTTTCTATTACTTTGAAAATGTCTGGACTCTTTGTCTAAACCTGGCAATGTTTCCTTGTTTCTGATGTTTAAACAGCATTCAGGTGTTGAATATATAAAAGTAATCATACAAGATAAATATCATTATTCACCACATTATTCAGAGCATTTAGTGATATGGGAGCTGAAAGCGGAGAGGCCAAGCAAAATAAAAATTATTGCATGCCAGGCACAGTAACTCATGCCTGTAATCCCAGCACTTTGGGTTGCTGAGGTGGGCAGATCACCTGAGGTCAGGAGTTCGAGACCAGCCTGGCTAACATGGCGAAATCCCATTTCTACTAAAAACACAATAGCCGGGCATGGTGGTGGGTGCCTGTAATCCCAGCTACTTGGGAGGCTGAGGCAAGGAGAATCGGTTGAACCCGGGAGGCGGATGTTACAGCGAGCTGAGATTGCGCCATTGCCCTCTAGCCTGGATGACAGAGTGAGACTCTGCCTCAAAAAAAAAAAAAAAAAGTTATTGCAAAAGTAAGCCAGATACATATGTTATCATTTGATATCCCCAGAAAGAGGAACTTGCTTTTTTCCTGGTGACAGCACTAATTAAATAGATACCAGTATATCATTATCCCTATGAATGTGAGGTCAAAGAAAATCCCCATTGTAAATAAAAACAGCATCTGGAAATGAACTTGGCTAACAAACTACTGTATAGTCATTTAAGTTCAAGATTCACTTTAATTCACATCACCCCACTATATATAGGAAGTGTTCTCTACAGATTTCTTTTTAGCTATATCTAAGATGGCTACAGAAAAGACTTAATGATCATATTCAGTATATTTTAGAAATGTTTAATGTTGAAGGAAACAACCATTGCCTCTTTTTGGAGTCAATTAGGGTGGGTCAAATATTGGACAAATGTTGGAGTCAATTAGGGTGGGTCAAATATTGGACAAATAACACAAAATACTCTAAGGTGGCAAGAGCCCTGGAGCTCCTTGCTCAGCAAAATCTAAAATGATTCCAATAACCCCTCCTCATAAAAACTACACTGCTGGCTGGATGCGGTGGCCAATGCCTGTAATCCCAGCACTTTGGGAGGCCGAGGCAGGTGAATCACCTGAGGTCAGGAGTTTGCGACCAGCCTGATCAACATGGTGAAACCCCGTCTCTACTAAAAATACAAAAATTAGCTAAGCGTGGTGGTACATGCCTGTAATCCCAGTTAATTGGGAGGCTGAGGCAGGAGAATCACTTGAACACAGAAGTCGGAGGTTGCAGTAAGCCGAGATCATGCCATTGCACTCCAGCCTGGGTATGAAGGGGGAAATTGTCTCAAAAAAAAAAGCCCCCAAAACAAAAAACAAACAAAAAACTATACTGCTGCTGCTTATTGCCTATAGTAGGTGTTTTCCTTTAACACCTTCCATTCTGTTACACTCTGGTTTACATTCTTCAACATCCTGGCAAACCCACTCACTATACTCCCTGACAATGCCTGCCTCTTTGCTGAGCAACTTGAATGGCAGTGCCCAATCACTTAAGCCTATGCCTTCTCTCTCAAATTCTCCCCAAAGCACGCCTTCTCCAGAGAACTTTCCATACAAATCCCACCCAGTTCCTAATAACCTCTCTCTACTTAATTACATAGGACATTTAATGTATTTTTTCCCCTTAAAAAGGGTTCTTGAGTGCAGAGCTAATTTTATGAGGAAAGAATGGCAGGCAAGAAGGGAGAGTAAATAAATATTGAAGCAGAAGACAGCTTTCTCATGACCACTCAATCTATTTTCAGCTTATCTAGGAGTTAGTTACCTAATAGATTCCGGCCCCTTTATGTTCTGGCTGTCCCAAATTTGATCAACATACCTAGACCATTACATAGCACTGGAACATTCCAGAGGGGAAAAGAACAGGGAGAAGAAAAGGTTAACTTTTGAATAAAGATTTTTTGATGGGTGGGGTGGGGAAGGATGTTTAAATTACACATGAAAGAAAGACACAGAAATTCTCGATGAACTAAACTTAGGTTTGTTTTTTTCTGGTTCTCAGTGCCACTACTTAGCAAACCTTTGTTTTGTTTTTGTTTTTCAGAGATAGGGTCGCCCTGACGCCCAAACTGGAATGCAATGGCACAATCATGCCTCTCTGCAGCCTCAAAATCCTGGGCTTACGTAATCCTTGTGCCTTAGCCTCCCAAGTAGCTAGGACTTCAGGCATGCTACCATGCCTGGTTAATTAAAAAAAAAAAGTTTGTGTGTGGAGATGGAGGCTTGCTTTGTTGCCCAGGCTGTTCTCAAACTCAGCTTCAAGTGACCCTCCCGCCTCGGCCTCCCAAAGTGCTGGGATTATGGGCATAAGCCACTGAGCCCAGCCAGCAAACTTTTCTAGGAAATGAAAAAGACAAGGTGAGGGCCTGGGTTCTGAAGGGTGAGGACAGGGATGCAGTACATTGATACTTACTTATGGCCATTCAAAGCAGCATGGTGCAGGGGTGTGTAGCCAGTGCTGTCAACACAGTTCACATTTGGCCCTCTCCACATGCTATCAGGGAAAAAAAAAAGAGAGAGAGAGATATATAGATTTCACAGACTGAAGTCACAAACCCAAGTTAGAGATCGCTAGCTAATTAGTAAAGATTTCTGTGTTGTGTTCAACCTGACCAGTTACTTCCAAATGACTCCTGATAAGTACACCAGCTATACATCGTAGAGATGCATAGCACTGAGGGTACACTGCAATGGTTTGCTGAACAGTCAAGTGTCGAGACAACAGTGACTTCACTTAAGAGCTTGTTCTTCTAGTACTCCCAGGATTGTAAAAACAGCTCATTGAAAGGTCATCAAAAACAGAACCAAACCACTCAGCTGGTCACAGGTATTGAACACCCACTCCTGTACTGGTGACTGAAGGTTTAAGAGTGACCTCAACACAGACCAGATAATCAAGAGGAATCAATAAGCAAGGATCAAGGTCAAAAAGCACCAGGAGACATGGCTTAAGATGCAAGATATGATTTTGTCTTTCCTTTGTAAATATGTCTTAATAGTAATTTTAAAAATAACAGAATCTATAATCTGAATGTGTTATCTGACTCAAAAATACCATAGGAGGGAAGAGAAAATGTTACCTTACTTAATCCTCGAAGCCTTAGTTCTTATTTCTGTATTGGCCTTACTGCATTGACCAGAGCTTCTAAAATAATATCAAATAATCCTAAAAGCCTTAATTCTTATTTCTGTTTCTGCAAACCGTACTGCATTGGCTAGACCTTTTAAAAGAATATCAAGTAGCATAGGGCAAACCTGTTTTGTTTCTGCTTCTAATGAAAAGGTCTCCAAGGGTTTGAGGTAGATACTCTGTAATTTGAAAAGGAAGTATCCTCTTTTTATTTTCCAAAAAGTGTTATTAGAGATAGTTGGTTAAATGTATTTTCTGCATCTATGGAGATAATTGTTTTTCACATTTAATAGCCTAGTATGTTGTTAGCAATAGGTTTCTTAACATTAATCCATCAATAGGTTTCTTAATATTAAGCCATTCTTGGCGTAAACTTAATTGGCCATTTCCATTATGACCTTATTGGTACATTCTACTTGAGAACATCTACTTGAGAGTATATTATTTAGGATCTATATTTATAACTGAGGCTGGTTTAAAGTTCTTGTTTTTTATGCTACTGTTATTGGATGGTATTAGTGTTAGGTTTAGATCACAGGTCGGCTGGGCAGCTATCTACTAATATTCAAGAATCAATGACACAGGCCAGGTGCGGTGGTTCATGCCTGTAATCCTAGCACTTTGGGAAGCCGAGAAAGGCAGATCAGCTGAGGCTAGGAGCTTGACACCAGCCTGCCCAATGTGGTGAAACCCTGTCTCTACTAAAAATACAAAAATTAGCTGGGTGCTGTGCAACTGTAATCCCAGCTACTCAGGAGGCTGAGATGGGAGAATTGCTTGAATCCAGGAGTCAGAGGTTGCAGTGAGCCAAGATTACACCACTGCACTCCAGCCTGGCAGACACATAGAAACTCTGTCTCAAAAAAAAAAAAAAGAATCAATGACACAGAGCACTAAAATTATTAAAAATCACTAATAAAAACATCTGGGCCCAGAGCCTTTATGCTCAGAGTTGGAAGCAATATTATTTACAAAAATAAAATTTTGGTTGGGTGCAGTGGCTCACACCTGTAATCCCAGCACTTTGGGAGGCCAAGGCGGGTAGATCACCTTAAGTCAGGAGTTTGAGACCAGCCGGGCCAACATAGTGAAACCCATCTCTACTAAACATACAAAACTTAGCTGGGCATGGTGGCATGTGCCTGTAGTCCCAGCTACTCGGGAGCCTGAGGCAGGAGAATCGCTTGAACCTGAAAGATGGAGGTTGCAGCAAGCCAAGATTGCACCACTGCACCCTAGCCCGGTGACAGTGTGAGACTTGGTCTCAAATTAAATTAAATTAAATTAAATTTTGGCAATAGGCATCAATAGACAAATTATAAACTACAGTACAGACACAGAGTAGAATATCAGATACCAGTTATACTGCTATGTAATAAGACAAAAAAGATTATAATGTTAGAAAGAAAAAAGAAACAAAATTGTAAATACTGTATAGTCTTGGCTCAGAAAGGATGAAATTTATCAGGATGGTAGATGAAGTGCACAAGTTTACTCAACCTCCTGTCTAAAGTTCTCTGAAGTGACAGAAAAGATATCTCACCCTACACAGATAGACAGCTACAGACAGATAAACAGACAGATTCATACCCAGAAAATTTTAAAAAGATACCATCAAGTAACCAGCAATGTTGAGTAATTACTAAAAGGCAGAAAGTAGACAAGGTCAGATCTACAGAGACACCATATAGAAGAATGCAAATTAAAATATTCATTGACAAAAATGAACATAATGGCATTATCAAGTCAAAGATTTCAAAGATTAGGAAAACAAGCACTCTTAAACACCATGGTCTAAGTTTAAACTGGTAAATTCCTTTGGGAAGACAATTTGGCACCATCGATCAAAACCAAAAATAGATTCACTTTGAGCCAGCAATTCTACTTCCAGGCAACTATCCAACAGAAATACTCACACGTGTACAGAAAGACACATGCTTGTACAGAATTGCTTCATTGTTAAGAGTTAAAAACTAAAAACTTAATGTCTATCCATAGGCAAGCAGTAAAATAGTAGGTATACTGATAAAATACTATGTAACCATCAACAACAGTCATAAGGAAAGAAACAAATTGGACCTTTAAGTCCTGACATGGAAAGATTTTCCAAGACATACTGTGTTATAAGAAAGCAAAAAAAAAAGGTCATTGTATAACACACACCCCTGTAAATGGATGGTGACTAGAAGAGCACTCACCAAATGCTGACCATGGTGGTTACCTCTGGGGAAGGAAATCTGTGTTAGGGAGCCCTGCAGATGATGAAGAGAGACTTACCTATTGTGCTCTGTATTCTACCACAGTTTAAAATATTTACAGTGAGAATCTATTCACATAGTGCTTTTACAATAATAATACCGTAAAAGAAAAGGGGGAATCATCTATGCACAAGGAAAAGAAGACAAAAAAATGTCAAAATGGTAGTAAAACTCAGTTGTATATGGGTGACAAACCACTTTGAGGAGCATGTAGATATTAGGTTTAGAATCTTAAGATAAATTTTAAGTATGAAAAGTGGGATTCTGTACAAGAAAGGAAACCACCAGCAGAGAGAAAAGACCACCTATGGAATGGGAGAAAATATTTGCAAACCATACATCTGCTAAGAGGTTAATATCCAAAATATATAAAGAACTTAAAATAACTCAATAGCAAGAAAGCAAATAACCTGATTGAAAAATTGGGCTAAAGATCTGAAAAGACATTTCTCCAAAGAAGACATACAAATGGCCAACAGGTACATGAAAAAATGCTCAACATCACTAGTCATTAGAGAAATGTAAATTAAAACCAAAATAAGGGGCCAGGCGCGGTGGCTCACGCCTGTAATCCCAGCACTTTGGGAGGCCGAGGCGGGTGGATCACGAGGTCAAGAGATCGAGACCATCCTGGTCAACACGGTGAAACCCCGTCTCTACTAAAAATACAAAAAATTAGCTGGGCATGGTGGCGCATGCCTGTAATCCCAGCTACTCAGGAGGCTGAGGCAGGAGAATTGCCTGAACCCAGGAGGCGGAGGTTGCGGTGAGCCGAGATCGCGCCATTGCACTCCAGCCTGGGTAACATGAGTGAAACTCCGTCTCAAAAAAAACCAAAATAACATATCACCTCACACCTACTAGAATGGCTATTACCAAAAAGACAAAAGATAAATGTTGGCAAGGATGTAGAGAAAAGAGCAACCTTGCACACTGTTGGTAAAAACAAAAATTAGTACAGCCGTTATAGAAAATAGTACAAAGTTCCTCAAAAAATTAAAACTAAAGCTACCATACAAACCAGCAATTGTACTACTGGGTATATCCAAAGGGAATGAAATCAGTACATCAAAGAAATATTTGCACTTCCATGCTTATTGTAGCATTATTCACAACGGCTGAGACATGGAATCAACCTACCTGTCCATCAATGGACAAATGAATAAAGAAGATGTGGTATACATAAACAGTGTTTCCTTAAAAGGAAATCCTGTCATTTGTAATAACATTTATCAACCTAGAGGACATTATGGTAATAAAAGAAGCCAGGCAACAAAAGACAAATACTGTATGATTTCACTTATATACAGGATCTAAAAATGTTGAACTCACGGAAGCAGAGAGTAGAATGGTAGTTACCAGGAGCTGGAGGGGGTGATGTTGGGGAGATGTTGGTTAAAGGAACAAAATTTCAGTCAGGAGGGATAAATTCAAGAGATATACTGTACAATAAGGAGATTATACTTAATAATAACGTATTATAATCTTAAAAATCACAGCCGAGCATGGTGGCTCACACCTGTAATCCCAGCACTTTGGGAGGTCGAGGCAGGTGGATCACCTGTGGTCACGAGTTCGAGACCAGCCTGGCCAAAATGGTGAAATACTGTCTCTACTAAAAATTTAAAAATCAGCCAACTGTGGTAGCGCATGTCTGTAATCCCTGCTACTTGGGAGACTGAGGCAAGAGAATCGTTCGAACCCGGGAGGCGAGGCTCCAGTGAGCCGAGATCGCGCCATTGCACTCCAGCCTAGGCAACAGAAGTGAGACTCCATATCAAAAAAAAAAAAAAAACAACCACTAAGAGAGTTAGTTTTTAAGTATTCTCACCACAAAAATGAAATATGAGGTAACACATATGTTAATTAGCTCAATTTAGCCATTCTATAATGTATAGTTATTTTAAAACATCATATTATATACAACAAATATATAAAGCTTTTGTCAACTAAAAATAAATTTTTAAAAAGCAACATACATGTATTTTGATATCTAGGCTATCTGTTCATTGCCAACTAAGGATGGTGAAGACAAGGTGAGGAGCCTGAGGTACATCTTGACACCCCATCCCATCCTCCACTAAGCCTGAACTCCTACAGCACTTT